GGTGGAATAGAGAGAACAATAGAGATTTAGAGATACCAAAAAATAAGTTGACTAATTCCTCTAGCAGTCCATTCAGCCACATCCCCAGAGCAATCCCCTCACCCACCCTCACCTCTGGCAGAGAAAGGTCGCTGGTATGTGTAAAGTGCTTTTTTCCCCTTTGTTTCCCCATAGGATATTCTTTTTTTCCTTAATCAAAATGGACCCCTCACAAAAGGCATCTTCAGACAGTCCGGCAATGTGAAATTGTGCAAAGAGCTGAAGGAGAAGCTGGACGCGGGAGCAGACGTGCCCCTGGATACTGAATCCATTTTCGTGATAGCGTCTGTTCTGAAGGTAGGAGTTATCCCTACCTCCATCACCCCACAGTGCACCTCTGGAGAAACAACTGGTTCCTTTCATGTTGACCTCATTCCCATCTGCAAAGAACCATAATAGATTAGAAACTAAAAAGTGTTAAAAAAAATACTTCACAAAGTCACGATTGTATTTTAGAAGCCACGGCCCATGAATGGCTTGGCATGGCATGTCAGACGTACTTTTTAAGTTTTTTTATCCCACGCCACTCTTCTCATCATGACTTCTGCTACCTCGTGCAAAAAATTATGTAAATTAAGTTAAATTTAAAATACTCAAAGCACATGGTGCACATTTACCAAAACAAACATCCTAGCTATGATGACTTCCTCACAATCTCACTACCTTCCTAAAAAATGCAATTCTCTCAAAAATATATTTGATTAAACTTTGAAAAAGAAGCTTACTCTCCCAAACAAGCATGTGCCTGCCAACTGACACAAACATTGCTCTCTGAGGCCCCTGAAACTTCCATTCATTGATGCAGTCAGGGAGCCTTCCTTGTCCCTAATGCCTTTTAAACTGACAGTGGGGCAAGGAGTGGTTCTAGACTCGGCCTCCTTTTAAAAAACCTTTCCTGACATTTTTACGGTTCTCACCCGCACCCCATGGTCACTTAAGTCACGTCCACACTTGGCTTAGAGCACTTCTGAAATGTTTTCCTCCCACATTCTTGAAAATACCTCACATTTTTGGAAAATGTAGAGTCAAAACCAGCTTTTAGCAGAGCTTTTGCCCTTAGGAGTAGCTTCTGCAGACGTGCCTGAGGCTTCCAGCTCCCAGCTGGGTGGGAAACACCAGGCCAGGGCAGAGACAAGGTCCGCAGCATTCTGGGGCAGGAGCATGAAAACCAAGTTAAGGAAAACATGGTGAAGAAGACTCTCCCCTGTGGGTTGGGGAACTGCTTACAGAATACTACTTCGTGACTTAATGCACCGTCAGATGATTCTGGGTAAATGGGCCATGTCTACTCTTAACCCTGCTGCAGGCTGTGCAGTAAAGAACACCGAGACGAACTGAGGAGCTGGAGCCGA